AAGCCACAGGAGGGGATGGCAGGGCATGAGGGTAAGTGGGTGGGGATAGCGAGATGCAGCAGAGACCCAGACATGGGGAGGGCACGGGGATCAATCCCTCCACAGCCCCAGCAGGGGGGTGGTGAGGGAGAGCCACCAGCTGTGGGCACACGTGGGTGTGGATAGGAACTGTGGGTGTGGGTGTGGGTGAGGAGCTACAGCCCAGCTCGATGCCACAGCCCTGCCATCCCCACTGCTGGGTGGTGCTGGGCCTGCTGCAGACCTGCCTGGCCATGGCAGTGGGGTTCTGGGGGTGTGAAGTGCTTCTACTGGGTCCTGAACACCTCTTGGCTCCTGCTCTGATCTCACTGTATCTGTGGGGTGGTGGGTGAGGAGGTGCAGGTGGTCTCCAACCTGTCAGGCTCCTATGCTGCCCCATTCCAGCCCTGGGGACAGGCCCGTGAACAGGCAGGGCAAGTGGCAGCCAGGCAGGCTGGGGCAGCTCAGTACCTCCCTGCAGACCCCCCAGAAGCCTGAGCTGATGGTTTCTTGACACCTTCCTCTCCTGTGCCATGGAGCCAGCCCTGCACCTTCGCAGCTCTGCTGAGCTCCATCCCCGAGTGCTGGGGAAGAGCCGGGTGCTGGCACCGAGTGGCTCTCAAGGAGCTGGTGCCGGGAGGGCAGACAATGGCAAATTCCCGGAACAATGCATGGAGCAGGCAGGGCTCCCGGCTCGGGTTTCCATCCTGTTTCCTCTCCTGAGTGCTGTAGTAGAGGCTCCCCACTCCCTGTTGGCGTCTGCATGTTCATTCCTTTGCTGCTCTTCCTGGGAGCCTCTGGGGTGTGCAACTTTGTTTGACAGTGCAGATGTGCCGTGCTCAGGGGGCTCCCACCCCTTCCCTCACCAACACGCCTGCCCTCCCTGATCCCCCAATCCCTGGGACCACTCTGGGGGTACACTGGCTGTACACCCTGCCTCAGTGTGCGGGGGAGACGGTGAGGGAGAGGACAGGAGCTCTCTGGCCCTGTCTGCAGTCAGCCTCGGCCCTGACACACCTGATCCCAGCCTGAGCTGGAGCGGAGCCGTGGCTGGGGGCTTTGCTCCCAGGGGTGTCAGCCCTGCTCTCGGATCGGCTGCACCACGGAGACTCCTAAGCCAATTAAAGCGGTAACTCTCAGCACTCACCCTCCAGGACATGTTGGTCTCAAGCTGCAGCTGAGGCTCTTTATAATCTCAGGATTTGGGATTAGCTCTGGTGACCAGTTAAATGCAGTTCGTTAAACCCATTAGCGAGGTTGGATCCGGTACAGGTGGATGTGGCAGTTAGAACAGTGTTGGATAAATGCTAAAGGCAAGGCTTTTCCCTGGTCAGAGCACCGTATTTCTTGCCAAACATCTCCCCTTTCCTGATTCACCCGCCTTCTCCCTCACCTCTGCAGGTCTCACCTCTACCAACCTGCAGGTCTCAGTGCACAGCCCCGAGTCCCACGTGTGACAAAGACCCCCCAGCCCCAAGAATACATCTGCTTCCCAGCTGCAAAGGCAGCTCTGAGCACTGGCTCTGAGGTTATCCCAAAGTTAGTTGTCCTCAGTCTGTTCACAATGCACATGTACATACCCTGTCACGGATGGTCTCCAGAGACAGTGTCGGCAGCATGACCATGTGCTCATGTAAGGAGCAGCAGTGTGGGCCTGTCCCCAGCCAGTCCCACGCCACCACCATGCTCATGGGTTGTGCTTGGATGGTTTGGCAGCTCAGGAGTTGTTATCTGCTCACAAAGAGTTGCCAGCTTCTTCACTAAAGCAGGGGGGATGCTGTGCGTGCCAGTGTGCCTCCCTCCCAGCAGCCTGCCAGGGTCCCCTGTCACCTCTGTGGGCTGGCAGCTGGCCAGGGTGTCTCTGTGGGTCCCACAGCCTGGGCACATGCCTGTGCCCATGTCTGTGCCAACCCAGGGCCACACATGGATTGGCTGCCTGGGGGTCACTGGGGCCAGGCCTGGGGTGCCCTCTCCATGTGCAGGTCCTTCCCAAAAGCCCCCATCAACCCATGCCCCCGCATCCTCTGCTGGCTTGGGGACCCAGTGCCACCCCTCAGTCCTGGTGGCAGCCCTGGAGGGCAAGGACATCTTGGGTGGGCTCACAGGGGGTGGCAGAGCTAGGAATGCAGGTTTTCCCCCCGACTACCACCATGTGGTCTCAGGGCTTTGCTCTGTCTGCATGTAGGCAGGAGCCCTCCCAGCCCCAGCTTTGGATATCAGCTTGTCCTGTGGCAGGACCCAGTTCTGGAAGTCCTGGTGCATAGGACAAGGGGCTTTTTAGGGCCAGACCAAGCCTTTCCCTGAACAGGAGTGCCATCAGCTGCTTCCATCCTCCCTGGGTACCCAGGGCACCTTGGGGTGTGGTGCTGGTGGGACACAGAGGCTTTGTCAGTGAGGTGATGTGGGTGCATGTGCAGCTCTCCCTGATGATCTGACTTGGTGGGATGTATAAGGGATTAAATGGCTGTAACAGGGAAGCAATTTTCTCCTTGTTTAAATACAGGATTAAGGGATGAGATCCCAAATTATCTTCTAGGAAAACTGCATTCCCTATTGCTCACTCTGGGACTGGAGGGTCCCTCATCCTCTTCCGTCTGAGGATGATGATTAGCAGATCTTTTTATAAACTAAAGTCAGGTTTTTTCCTCATCCTTTTTTCCCAACACCTGAAAACTGGAGTCAGTATCTGGGAGCTGGGGGCAAACGGTGACGCTGGTGACAGACCCAGCTGTGGTGGGGCTCTGGCAAACCCAGCACCCACCCAAGCCACCACCTTCCTGCTGCAGGGATTTCATTGGATGACTCTTCGCAATACAAAGGAGGGAGCAATTAGCCCTGAGAGCTCTCGCTGTCGGTTTCTGCCTCATCATCAGTTTTTTTGAAAATTAAATGATTTTTTTTTTTTCAAGTGATTGATTCTGTGTTTCCCGTGCAGCTGCCGCGGCGCGGGGCTGGGGAGCGCCCGCCACGCTGGCAGCGCCGGGATCATTCTCTGGGCTGAAACACCACGGGATGATCAAATGCAGAACAAATAAGAATCAACATTTCATTCGGGCGAGTTGATGGGAGATGAAATCTCATTTTAATGAGACCCATGGAGCTGGCAGGGAGACAGGAGGATAATTGTGCCCTCGCTGAAAGCTGGGGAGGCTGCAGGTCACTTGTTGAGCAGCGGAGGAGCCAGGGCTGGGGGCTCTGGGGTCCATGTGTGGGGGCTGCTCTGCACCATGGACAGTGAGACTGTGGCTCTGACGAGCCCAATTATCGAGGCTAATTACAGGGACAGGACGAGGTCACCAGTGCCCAAGCCTGGTTCATGCATGGGTGCCCTGGGACAGCAGTGATGCCCTGCAGCACACCGGGCTCTACATCACTTCTCCTATTGTTGTTTCCCTGCTACTCCATGCCTTCCCTTTCTGGGCTGTCCTCTGGTTTGTTCCCCCACCAGCAAGGTTTGTTCCCCCAGCAGTAGCGTCACTGCCCTTCTGCAAGGCAGTGGCTGTGGTGGTGCAATGGCAGCACTGCCCTGGCTGGCTGTGAGCAGGTGGCACCAGCATGCAGATCTGTGCTGGGAGCCAGGAGCCGGGTGGCCACAGCCTCTTCCCCCTGAGCGGTGAGGGACAGGCTGCAGCAAAGGCTAAAATTAGGTGCTGCCCTCAAGGTGGAGGTTAAAGCGTCACTTTGAAACCAGCGCAGAGAAGGGAGGGGCTGGCAGTGGAGCTGGCCAGGGCAGAGCAGATGGCAGCAGAGTGACACGGGGGCTTGGTGGCCCCAGCTGATGGCCCTCACTGTGCTCTCAGGGCTGTGCAGCCCAGGGGTGGGAGCACTCGGCTGTCCCTGCAGTGGAAGCAGGGCTGGCTCCTGCCTCTTCCTGCTGACAGATGAGCTGAAAGTGCTGGGATCAGGTTTTCTCCCATGCTCTGGGCTGATGGAGTTGGCTGGCAGCACATTCTGGAGCTGATGGAGAAGCCGTTGCTCTGCCAGAGGATTTTACTCATTGGGAGGAATCTATGGCCTGACATCCTCCCTCTGCACCTTTCTGTTCCCCTCCTCACCTGGCTCCCTCCTCATAGTCAGCGGAGCCCTGGCCGTGGTGCAGGCAGGGCTGCCCGGGGATGCCCTGCCTGGCCGGCCCCTTGTCCCCTCCTGCAGTGCCGGATCTGGCCCAGTGTCATGGGGAGGGTCCCTGGTGGTGGTGACTCAGCCGGGCGTGCGTCGGTGCCACGCACACCTCCGCTGACCCCCGGCCGACGACCAGATGGCCAGGGCCAGTGTGTGGCCGCGCCCGTAGCCCTGCCAAGAGCCAAGGCAGCGCCGCCACGAGCGCCGGGAGCTTCCCGCAGGCAGCACAGCACAACCAGCTGGTGCCTCCATCCTGGCCAGGTCGGGGGGAAGCAGGGTGGGCTCTGCGCCAGCTGGGACCAAAATATCCCTTTTGAGAAGTAATTGGATGTTGGTGCTGGGCTGGGACAACCCAAATCTATGGGTGGGGCTGTGGGGAGGATTCCTGGTTTGGGGGGGATCCAGACCCTGCATGAGGGAGGAAGGGTTGGGGTATTGGCTGGGTAGGCACTGTGATGTTCAGCTGGGCATTGGGGTGATGCCCCAGGGCAGAGGAATGTTTAGCTGGCTTTGTACAAGCTGCCCCTTCCTAAATTGGAGCCCTAGGGTAAGACAGAGACATGCTCAGCATTGCTGCTACCCCATAGCCCCTGGCACCCCTGGCCTAAGGGGATTTCCAGGGCCCCAAATCAAGGGAACAGCAGTCACAGAACAGTCCTGGTGTGGGCAGGGCAAAGTGAGCTCCACTGCCCGGGCAATTGGAGCTTGTCTCACCCTTCCCAACCTCTCGCAGGTACCTCCGCACGCTGTACCTGGGGCTGCAGAGCCGGTGGCAGGCCGAGCACCGCCGTCGCCACTACTACTGGCGGATGATGTTCGAGAGCGCGGACATCAGCATGCTGAGGCTGCTGGAGGCCTTCCTCAAGAGCGCGCCCCAGCTTGTGCTGCAGCTCAGCATCATGGTGCAGCAGAAGAGCATCGAGCCACTGCAGGGTAAGGGACACGCCCCACTGAGGGGGAACGGGGCAGCGGGAGGGGGGTCCCCGGCCTCCGCGGGCTCTCACAGCCGCTCCCCGCAGGGCTCTCGGCCTCGGCCTCGCTGGTCTCACTGGCCTGGATGATCGCGTCCTACCAGAAGGTGCTGCGGGACTCGCGGGAGGACAAGATGCCCATGTCCTACAAGGGCGCCGTGGTGCAGATCCTCTGGCACCTCTTCACCATCGCCGCCCGTGCCATCGCCTTTGCCCTCTTCGCCTCCGTGTTCCAGCTCTACTTCGGCATCTTCATAGTCACCCACTGGTGCATCATGACCTTCTGGATCATCCAGGGCGAGACGGATTTCTGCATGTCCAAGTGGGAGGAGATCATCTACAACATGGTGGTGGGCATCATCTACATCTTCTGCTGGTTCAACGTCAAGGAGGGACGGAGCCGCTACCGCATGTGCATCTACTACATCATCACACTGTCAGAGAACGCCGCCCTCACCATCCTCTGGTTCCTCTACTATGACCGCGAGACCATCTCCGACTTCGACGCCTTAATCCTCGTCTGCGTGGTCAGCTCCAGCTTCGCCCTCGGCATCTTCTTCATGTTCATCTACTACTGCCTCTTGCACCCCAACGGCCCCATCTTCCGCCACCGCAACGTGGGCTGCATCTTCCGGCAGGAGCCGCCTCCAGTGCCGGGGTCCCCCACGGACGCCGTCACCAGCCCCCCACGCTCGCTGCCGCGGACTACAGGGGGGGAGCGGGAAGGGGCGCCGGGGGAGCGGGACAGTTGTGTGCCCGTCTTCCAGGTGAGACCCCGCACCCTGCCGGCAGCGGCCGCCCGCGCCCCGCGGACAGAGAGGCCCGTCATCCGCATTGACCTGCCCAGGAAGAAGTACCCGGCCTGGGACGCCCACTTCATCGACCGGCGCCTGAGGAAGACCATCCTGGCGCTGGAGTACGCGTCGCCCATCACCCCTACCCTGCAGTACCGCACCCCCGGCGCCCCCCAGGAGCTGCTGGAGTATGAGACCACCGTGTAGGGTGGCGGGGCACGGGGCTTTGGCGGGACCCCTGGTGCCACCCCGGCCAGCCTGAGTCTCCGCAGCCGTTTGCCTTCCGTTGGGTTTGCCGGCTCTGCCGTGTCGCCGTGCCGAGCGCTCCGCGGGCGGTGGCCGGGGAGGTCTCTTGGTGCTATCCCCCCTCTCGCGCCGCCCTCCTGCAGCCCAGACCCCCATCCTGCCTGACACAGGCTGCCCCCGCACCCCCCAGGGCTCATCCTTGCCAAAATACCTCACTGGTGCCTGAGCCCCAGGCAGTGGGTGCTGTGGCCCGTGTCAGTGGTGCAGGATGGGGACTGGGGGCACCCTGAGCTGGGGGCATGGTGGGGCACAGTGGGGCGTGGTGGGCAGCACATGGGGACACTGGTGCCTGTGCCATGGCAGAGCCATGGGGCTGGGACGTGGCTGCACTGGGGTGTGCATGGGGCTTGTCACCCACAGGAAGCTGGGACAGGGACAACTGCGGTCTGTGCAGCCCTCCCAATGTCTCACAATTCCCCCACACCCTGCAGCACCAACCCTTGGGGAGCCCCTTCATCTCCATCCTCAGTTCCCCCTGGCTCAGGGTTGAGCCATGTTCCCAGCCCCACTGTCCTGTGGGGCACAGACCCTGGCCTGGGGTGGGCACGAGTCCTGCCCCCCTGGTTCTGAGCTGGTATCCCAGCTGTGGCTGGGATGGCTATGCCTCATCCTCCCCACCATTCCCACAGGAACTTCTTCATCTCATCGGGTTTGTTTTCACCTGGTGATGTTTTGTGTGACATTTTCTACCTCCGCTGGGGCCGGGGGTTGCAGGGCCTGGCTGGCACTGCTGAGGAGTGTGTGTGGGGCCGCTGGCGTTCCCTGGGTTCCCTAAAGTGGGATTCACACCCAGCCGTTCTCCTCTCTCGGGTTTGGCATCACTTCCCACCCGGGAGCTTTTCCATTTACTCCCCCATCGGCATCAGCCCCCTCCAGAGCCTCAGTGTAAACCTGAGCTGGGATCCTCCCTCCCCTGGCCTCACCCCGTGTCCACCCAGCCTCCTCCCTGTCCCCGCCTTGCCTGCCCCTGCCTGCTCCTGCCTCCCCAGAGGAGTGGGACTGCCCTGGGCTCCGGGTTTGAATGTGTCCCTGGTCCTGCCCGGATCTGTCAGCCCCCACCGAGGGGCTGTGCTGAATGTACCCTGTGCCCCGCCCCGGGCCGGGACTGTCCCAGTGGGGTGCGTGTGTGTGTCTCTCTGTGTGTCTGCGTGTGTGTGTAAGTGTGTGCAGGGGCTGGCAGGGGTTTGCAGGGGAGGGGAGGTGTCAGAACCCCCGGCCGTGCTCCACCCCATCCCCTCGCCCCCTGCACCCATGGCCCCTGTGCCTTCCCCACAACTCCTGTGCCCCCCACAACAGCCCCGCAGGGTACCGGCCTCTGGCTGCCCTGAGCCGCTGTGCCAAGCCCTGCCTGGGCTGGGGAGCATAGGCAGCACCGACAGCCCCTCCGTGCCATGGGGCACCGTGAGAGGCACCAGAGGATAGGAGGGCTGGGATGGGAGAGCTGCACCTGGGAATGGATGGGATGTGGGGTCCTCGAGGGCTGGCGTGGGTGCCATGGCCGGGGTGGGTGGGTGGATGTGCAGTAGTGGTGGCATCACGTTTCTTTTGTTTCCCATTTCTCGGTAGCTGGGGTGACAGCCGGCTGGGCTGGCCATCGATGGGGTCGCTGGTGCTAACTGGTGCTAACTGGAAGCCTTGGAAACCCTTTAGGAGGAGGTTGCAGAGCATGGCTGGGGCTGGGCAGGGGGCTGGGCCCCCCAGCACCTGCACCCCTCCTTCACCGCCATCACGGGCAGACCCCGGTACTGGGGGCTGTTCATGCTGGGGAAGCCCCAGGCATGGGGTGGCTCTGTGGGAGGGTCTCTTTTCCTCAGGGAAGGTGGGGGGCAGTAGCCGGGGGGGCCAGGGGCTCATCCCTGTGGGTGTTGAGCAGCATCGCTGCAGCCTCTGTGCAGTGCCCAGGCGGTGGCAGCTCCTTGCTGGGTCCCACTCCACCAGAGATGGGGATGAGCCAGCATGGGGCAGTGCTTCTGGGCTCCCCCTGCCCCAGCCCCTCTCCCTGTCCCCTGCAGGACAGAGACACCGTTCAGGGTGACCTGGACCCCCCATGCCCTTCACCCCGGGGTTTGTGTGGGGACCCCAGGGCCGCGCTGGTGGGACAGAGGGACACTTTTCTATGCACTCAAGCCACGGTACCCTCAGCCCTGGGCTGCTCTGGGCAGGGCATTCTGGCCATGCCTGGGGCTTAGGGGGAGCCCCTGGATCCCGCTGCTGCCCTGGGGCTCAGCCAGGTTGCCCCCTTGCCCCCCCCAGCCTGTGCCACAGGGGCAGCCAAACCCAGCGCCACCGGGATGGCAGCACCGGCCCACCAGGACCGCAGCAAGGGGGGCATGACTGGGGGCCAAGCAGCTACAGGATGGGTGCAGCTCCAGGGCTGCTCCAGCTTCAGGGAGTGAGGGAAGTTCGTTCTGGCAGGGGCTGCCGCGGGGTCTCAGCCACATCCCTGGCCCCCCTCCGGCGCTGGGACCCGGCGGCTGCTGTCATGTACTGTAAATACTCTGTGTGCCACCTTCTTCTCTGGGACCCTCGGCACGGGCGGGGGTGAGCGGGAGGCCGGGGTCCGTCCCGAGACTTTTTTGTATACCACAAACTTTTTGTATATTTTTAATTTTGCTGCAACATGAGATATTAAATTCATTTCAATAAGCCCTGCCTGTGGGATCCTGTCCTTGCTGGCACCTCCAGCTCACGGGTGGGGTCTGAAGCGGGGCAGGATGATGCGTCTCTGTCATGGGGTTCTTGGGGACTCCAGGAACAGAGCAGGGTGGCTGTGGTGGTGCTGGCCCTGGTGTGGCAGCCAGGAGGGAAGGGGGGGGTACCAGCAGGATGTAGCTTCCCGAGGAGGAAGCTGCTGGACATGGCCACTGCTGGGCCAACCTCCTCCCTGCCAGAGGCCCTGATCCCCAGCTGAACTCCAGACCCACGGGGGGCTCAGGCTCCATGGGGAAGCAGAACCAGCCCCAGGGAGGAGCCCTGTGGCAGTGAGGGGCAGGGGCTGCTCTGTAGCAGGGTCCCGAGGGCACCCCCACCACCTGCTCTGGTACCAGTGCCTGCTCTGGTCCCAGCCCAGCCCACTTCAGCCCCTGCTTCTGCCCAAGTACCAGCCAAGTCCCAATCCCATTCCCAGGCTCAGTCCTGACCCGGTCCCAGTGTCAGCCCAGCCCAGGCCGGCCCAGCCCAGCCCAGTCCCAGCACCCCCCAGGAGAGGCAGGAACTCACATCCCAGCCATCCTGGTGGAGTTTCCGACACAGGAAAGCACCGCGGCGCCGAGCGGGGCGGTGGGGGCGGCCACAGCTCCGAGTCCGGCCATGGACTGCGAGGCCAAGAAGGGAAAGAAGGTGCGTGGGGCTGGGGCTGGTGTCCCGGGGGACTGACGGGAGGGTGGGAGCGGGCGAGATGCACGGGTATGAGAGGCCCTGCACCCCTCCCACAACGCAGCAGGGAGGAGCGGGGTCCCTACTCACTGCCCCCCAAACCACACGAATAATGCAAACCTGGCGTCAGCGAGCAGAGCGGTGCCCAGCCCGTCCCCAGGTGCTGGGTGCCACGGACCCTGTGTGTGGGTGCCAGGGTTGGGTGCCCGGTGCTGACTCCTCCCTGTGCCCGTTCCCCCACCAGGGCTTTGTGTCGCCCATCAAGCGGCTGGTTTTCCCGAAGGCTGCGCGGAGGGCAGCGCTCCGCAGCAGCGTCTACCGGCGCCCGCTGCACTCCGTGCCCCTCTATCCCCCCGACTACCTGATCGACCCCCAGATCCTGCTGCACGACTACGTGGAGAAGGAGGTGAAGGTAAAGGGGTCCTCAGAGATGCCTGGGGTCACTGCCTGCTTGGGGTGGGGACATGAGGTCACCCCAGGCAAACAGCCAGGGAGGGGGA